CACGTGATGCGTAGGCAACTGATCTCTTGGTGCTAGAGTCGAGCCGCTGACGGAGAACTGCTTCAACACCATAACTAGAGGCATCTGCGGAGACAATGATATCTGCTTTTGGGTCATAATGTGCCAGCATTAAGTCAGATACAAGAGCTTCCTTAATGAGTTTTAACACCTCCTCACACTTGGATGACCAAACCCAGGGTCGATTTTTACACAGCAACTCATTCATTGGCCCTCGAAGTCGATGCATATCAGGAATAAATGCACTGTAATAACTTATCATGCCCAGGAACGATTGCAGAGGTATATCGTGTGGTGCAGGTAATTCCACAATGACGCGCATTTTTTCAATATCAGGTCTTCGCACGTCACGAATGAAATAAAACCAAGGTATTTCAGTTGAGGCATAAACAAATAACATTTATCAGCTCTCAGAGTCAAACCGTACTCCCGCAAGCGTTCGAATACCTGCAAGAGATGGCAGCTATGATGAGTTATGTCTGTTAATGCGACGATAATATCATCCAAGTATACACAAGCCGATAGTATGTCTGCTTGCATAGTATCCATCAGTTGTTGTAAGAGTCTCGGAGCAGCGTTCCTTCCGAACGGCAGCCGACTGTACTGATACAGACCACGGTGAGTGTTAATGGCAAGAAGGTGGCATGCAGTCATCATCGACTACCACTTGAAGATAGGCATCCGAGAGGTCAATCTTTGAAAAATGCGATTGCCGTTGAGTTTAGCGAAAAGATCCTCCGGTAGTGGCAGCGGGTTTTGCTGGAGATTCAGTGCTGCGTTCTGGTCGATTGAGAAATTTCCACACTGGCGAAAGGTTTCGTCTGCCTTTTTCCTCTCACTATGCGCGCTGCCCAGTCTGAGTATTCCACCTTAGAAATCACCCAAGCAATCCAATTCATTGTCAACCAATTTAAGAGACGCATACGGCACGTTTTTGGGTCGAAAAACAGGCTTTGCATCATCTTTTAGATAGAGTGATGTCGTGAACTTGGTGCAACAGCCAAGTGTGGGGTTGAACACTTCTGGGAATTGCTTCTCTATGTCGCCAGCGATCGTAGAACTCTGCACTGCGTAGCACTGTGATGACATGTCCAAAGCGGATAAACTTTCCTCGGTTTGATCGCATACAGAGTCAAGAGGAACGCTCTAAAGATTCAATGCGGTTATCCAGTCGATACCAAGTATGTTTACTTCCGGGTTGTCAGAAACGAGACAGACGCCGGTTCGCTTATCGTTTCTATAAACATATTCACAGGAAAAATTACCACATAGCTGAAGGATCCTGTTCGTTGCATTCCTTGCGGTATTTTTCGCATTACACAGTATCGGTCTACCGATAGCCGACCATATCGGGCTGAAGATAATGGTAATGTCAGATACAGTACCCAGCTGTAGGCGCACTGAATGACCAATAGTAGTGATAGTGATAAACTTACGAAGTGAAAGAAATCCTTCGTATGCAGTTGTATAAACCACATTAGACTCCCATTTGATTCTGCGTTGTCGAAACGGTTTTGATTAATCCCCATGATGTGGATGTCGGCAATGCGTTTCTTTATGGCCTTTCTGGTGGCAGACGATGCATTGGTGACTGGTGAACGGACAGTTTCTGGAAAAATGCTACTCACCACAATTCTAACAAACAGGTGGTGGTTTCTGTCGTGCGGTGTTATAAACATCTGTCGGTGTTCGGGTAAAATTGAATCAACCATCGCGATCTATGACATCAGTTGTCTCGATTGCAACCTTGTGAATCACTTTTAAGTTGACCAGACGTTCAGTCTGCGGTGACTTCCTGAATGGTGAAATCTGGAGATGAATCCAGATTGGATAACAGACTTGTTCTGATTTCTGCGTCAGCTGTAGAGGTCAAGCCAGATACAAAATGAGTGACTTGAACTGATCATTTGTAAGTTGTTTGAGCTTGAAATGTTCACATGAATGGTTCACTCTGCCCGCCTATAAAACATAATCCTCGAATTGATTCTTAACCAGCTTCAAACACTGATAACGGATGTAGAAAATTGAGGACCTTTCACCAAAAATAAAATGAGAACATCTAGTCTCCTGGAAATTGCGCTCGCAGGAGTGTTCCGGTAGGATGAAATCGCAGTACTGGTTGTGTCCATTTGCGTTCAGCTCCCGTAGCAACAATCGTACTTCAACCGCATTATCAAGCGTGATCGCGTAAACCAGAAAGATGTCGTCATACCGCCTGTACCGGGTTGCAAATGTGATGTCGTTCTCTGGGTCATATTGGAAATCTTGCATTCCGTTTGCCAACGCTCCGGCTGAAGTGGACTGGGTTTTCACCGTGATGGGTGTTAGATCTAGGGATGACAGTTTCTCAGTGAATGTTCGGAATAACAATATGTTGTTATTCTTGCTGAGGCATAGCCCTCTGTTGCTGCTGGATGTAATCATGCTGCTGTGGTAGTAACTGAGCTAGCTGTGAATGATCAGCCATCTCCATCACCAGTGTTATAATTGCGGTTAATGGGGCGTTGAGCCGTCAGAAAAAAGACTTTCATCGCACCGGACAGTGTACTGATCAGATCTCAAGTCGCAAGAAACAGGCAAGACAGCCGACAATATAGGCAAGAGTGTGTGTCAGACAGTCGGCGATCTGATGTATATGAACCACAGAAGACCATTGGGTGAGAGTGAAGTTCACGGTTAGGTGTACTTTTGAGGCACCGGATCGCCTGGTGTAACAAAAAACGCCGTCCGAACTGAAAATATAGCGACTCAGGAGACACCTGCTGATTTGCACACCCAACTTTGTGCTGCGGCGTAGTCGCGGCACCGTTACCCCGCAAAACCTAGTGCGCCATAAATAGTTTATTGTCATTTTATGGCATGATTCCCGGCTATCTTTCTGCCTTTGCGGTTTTATTCAATTCTATGCAAATGTGATATTGCAGTTGTTTAAATGTGTCGGAAACCAGATACGCGGTAGGAACAGTATTTTCGAATCCGTACGCCATGGAGTCTGATTTCCGGAGAAGCTTCCTTGGGCGTTCTTTTGACAGTTTTGATGAGTTTAATAGTTTGTTTTCAGACTTTATGCTTCTTCATTACGTCAATTTCGTATGCTACAGCAGCAGAAAGTGTAACGTGTCGCGGGTGAAGTATGACAGGGTCATTTATCGATGTGTCCGCTGCGCACGTCGCAAGTCAAAAAGTACAGGAATGAGACGTGTTTAGTAGGCTTTTGCTTCTATTATTCTAAATTTTTCAGCTCACGTGATACTAACTGCAAAGCTCGCGTGAACCTCATCAGAACTGGACGCAAGCTGAAAGTCAACCTTCGATCTGTCTCACAATCACCCAGTTAACCGCTTTCCTTTTGAGCGACACCCCATCAATCGCCGTCTGACGGACGATGAGTTCAGTCAGTCCGTGGACCTTTTCCGCTACAACACACCAACAAGCGACATCAAGCAGTTCGTCGACGCTCGATTCGGAAGGCATATTACCACCGATGATGTCCGCAATGTTCGTCGTAAATTGCGACCTGGCGTTGAGTGTAAGCTTATTTTGATGGTTTTTACTACCTGCAGTAAAATTGCATCAGGTTATCAAGTCTATGGAGGAAGACGGAGTTGCGCGAATTATTTCAGAGGAAGGCCTGTGCACACACGTATTATTCGCTCGGCATCAACAAATAGAACTGTTCCGCCGATTCTCGCATGTCGTTTGTGTAGACGCTACTCATGGTACTAACCGTTTGAAGTAAGAATTGATAGCGGCCTTACTTGTTGCTTGCAGCTTCAAACTATACCAGTTTTTAATAACTGACGGGATGGGTTACGGCCGGCCAATATTTTATGCGTTTCTGCGTCGGGAAGATTACGCATCTTTGCTTACGTTGTTCGAAGCGTTTCGGGATATTATGGGTCATGATGTTCCCGTCAGCACAATAATGATGGACAAAATGGCTGCTCAAATACGTGCAGCGCGCGCAGTTTTTCAATGCGACATTTGGTTGTGCTACTTCCACATCCGCCAGGCCATCAGGAAGCATGTAAGTGATAAATCTTCGTTACATTCTGTAAACAAACATTACCCGGTCGCTCTGTTTCATCGCATGGCAACTTCGGACACGGAGACTGAGTATAATCTCTTTCTATATGTCATATTCTTGTTCTAGATTTCAACAAGATTTAAAGCTCCTTCGACGAACAGACCCCCGGTTTGTGCGCTACCTTACATTGTACTGCCTGAACATAAAACGCTCGTGGGCGAAACACGCCCAAGCTGGGCTGGTGCATTTTGGCAATACAACGGACAACCGAGTTGAGAATGCCAACTTGCGGTTGAAGAAAGTTACCCATGCATCGGATGGCCTTGTTGCAGCCGTTCGCAAAGTCTGGGAGCATTCGGAAGTTCTCCTGAAAGAGTCCCAGATGCATGCGGCGTTTTTTGTGACAGACGTCAGCTACTAGAAGGCAGCGCACAGGTTCATCGCGTAGTTTGCCTCTTAACTACGTACGCATGTAACTTAGTGATCCGCCATTTAGCACAACCCATGTTACAAGCAGTTTACTCGGACCTTGGAGGTGTAGTGGTATGTGAATAAAAATTGCTGACGCCTCCATAGTTTGAGATATCTCACCAGGGAAACCGCTTTACCATCGATTGCTCCTTGGGAACATGTACGTGTCCATTTTATGAAACCATGTGGCTGCCGTGTGTGCATTTACTGACGGCATACAAGCAGCACGCGTACCCGACAAGTAAGCCGTTTCTGATATGTGCATCCATTTACAGGCCAAATACCTATTTGTATTCGCTGGCTGGCGTACTACAACCTAAGCACTTCGATAAATGCCTGCACTCTTCATGGGAATGGTGATCACGAAGGAAGAGAATATCGAACATTGGAAAGTAAGTTACGTGATTATGAAGAGTAAGTCATAGTGAAATGATCTTGTAGAATAGACCAAGAAAATAGCTATCTTAAAATTTTGGGAACTTACCACGGTCGATCGAGAACCCGTTGCAGAGGCGGGAATGCTTTCACCTGGAAGAGTGGTGCTGGGAACGGATGGAGCATCCAAAGCCTGATCAGAGAAGCCGCTATCGAGGGCGAAGTCCTCCCCAAGAGCCGCCAGTTCATCTTCTAACTCACCCTCATCAATGTCTGGTGTGGCGAAATTCTGAGCAAGAGCATCCTGAACTTCATCAGCAATTGACAACATATCAGCGAGGTCGTCTTGCATATCCTAAAAAGGAAAGAGAGTCGCCGAAATCCGAACATTTGGCAGTGCCACATCAAAGAGCCGTAAGTACAAAGAATGTGAGCCGAAGAGTGGACCGTTATACGGACCTGTTAAATGCAGTTATCTGTAAACCTATGGGTTTTCCAGCGATCAAGCCCGCTAATTAGTTTAAATGAGAAGTCATGGGACGAATAATGAATCGGAGCAAACATGCAAGTCAGGGCAAACAACGATAGTTGGCGGTCTGCAAAGCATGAGGGCAAACGACGTGCGGGTGAACACGAAAGCTGTAGTTTCAACACCGGTACGCACAGAAGAGCATAAAAAACGACGTAAAAATACAATCGCGCAGGAACAGATAGCAACCACAACTTGCTGCACCGTAAAGTTATGTGGAGGGCCTAGCTTAGACTACAATAATAAAACGCGGCTTAAGTCGAAGGCGTTCCTTGGGTACATATGATGTACGGCCAGAGGTGAACAATAAACTCCCCCTATCACGCAGTTGCCCAGTGGCCTGTAGGAATTCTTGAGCCGGTGAGACAACAGCTTGTGACTTACCACCTGCGTGACAGTTTTCAGTTGGTCGAGAGCATCAAGGAGGCCAAAATTAATGAGAAAGTGATGCTCTTCTTTGATGTTGTCTCGCTTTTCACTAACGTCCCGCTAATCGAAACCATCGATTACCTTTGCGAGCAGATAACGAAGTTGGAAACTAAGATTTGTATACCTGTGCTTGAGTCGAAAAATTTATTGCTGCGGTACACATGGAATGTGCAATTTCTATTTAATGGTAAATTTTACCGGCAAAACAATGGTGTAGCCATGGGATCCCCCCTCGATCCATTGTTCGCAGATATATTCATGGTCAAACTGGAGTGAACAAAATTGCAAGCGGAGATAAAATCTTTTGATTGCTATCATCGTTATATGGATGATATATTTATAGTGGCGGATAAATGCATAAATCTGGATGAGGTTCTCAATCGGTTTAACCGGGCTCACGCAGCATTGCAATTTACCTACGAGACAGAAACTTACAATCGGCTTCCGTAGCTAGATGCCTTGCTAACTAGGAGGCCAGACGGCTCCATCCAGCGGAAAGTCTATAGAAAAAATACGTGGATTGGTCAGTACACAAATTTTCACAGTTTCGTCCCGCTGAGATATAAGCGAAACTTAATCCACTGCCTTACCACAAGAGCACGTAGAATTTGCTCACAGGACACCCTGGATGAGGAACTAGCCTTTACAAAGAATACGCTGCGCGAGAATGGCTACCCTGATAGATTTGTTGCAAAGTATTTTGAAGAAAAGCCCAAGCCGGTACCAGTCTTAATAGCGGCGAAGGAGTTATTTTTAAGAATACCTTTTAAGGGGGATGCCGCTGCCGAGCGCCTAACCAAAAGTCTTTCAGCGGTAGTCAAGTCGACATTCCCAGCAGCCAGGTTAAAGTGTACATTTTCTACTGAACCACTTGTTTGTTCACGCAATAAGGATACGCTGCCATTGCTAACCTCATCTATGGTTATTTATCAGTTCAAGTGCGTTTGTGACGCTACTTATATTGGTCGAACAGCACGACACTTGTCCAAACGCGTGAAGGAGCACTGCCCGCGCTGGTTGTGTCAAGGAGAAACTGGGGCCATTAGCAGCGCCGTTTTGGCCCATATTGTCGACACGGGCACCAAGTCGATCTAAAGCGTGCCTTCAGGATAATTTACAGGGTCCCCAGCATCAATCAAGAGGTTTGCGCCTCCGTGCGCTCGCGACAGCTGAATCGATTTGAATTCGGTTGTTTCAAGCTTCATCATGCTCGCAAAAGAAGTTGCTCCATGCCTTACAACTTCCCTGGCCAGCTAGAACGAACGATGCTGAGGTCGATTGCCACAGATCAAACTCGGTACCATGTAATCGACCTGTCCGGTCAAAGGTCAACTTTTAGCCTCCCTCACTGAACCGTTAATTAACTATGTAATTCGAGCCAATGAGGCGATTTCAGTTCATTATTTTACCCTTAAATATGATTGTAATGGTCTGAAGAGAACCGTCGAAAACAATTGTTCATCTATGGTCTCGTGTTCTTTTGACTCTAAATGGGAATTTTCAAGTTGCTTGATAAAGAAATTGGTTACCGTGACAAGTGAATGAGTGCGATGGGTATGTATGCAGCCAAATGATGGCTGTAGTGGAATCACAGAGTGAGTTTTAAGATGCGTGGAAGTAGGACGAAGTCAGATGACGCAATAACTAGAAATTCATCAGTAAACTGTAAACGACATTCCCAGAGATGGAGCTAAATCTAAGAGAACTGAAAAATGTCAAGGAGACAAGGATTTGAAGCAACGGCGCACTGCATGAGCATCTTGTAAATTGATGAATACTAAAACCCGCTACGCAACAAAGGCAGCTATCTTCTCATTAGTTGGATCCGTTCTAAAAAGACTATATTTAGCAACTAACTTCACCGCCCAAGAAATCGCACGTTCTTGGATTTACTTATGAGGATGCGTTGACTTTTTCACTACTTGTGCTCTATAAGCAGCTTGTCATCAAGATGATTTTATATCAGACTGATTACCGATTTTGACTGGGATTGGGTACTTGCTAGCAACATGACAGCCCAACCGAAATTGTTTATGTCAAGAAACGTTTCACACGGTAAGAAAGTTTTCTTAGACCCAGCAAATGTGGTAAACCTATATAGGGTCGTGTGCACCCTTATTCCATTGTCATGCGTTTTTACTCACCGTTCAACCCATTTTTATGCATACTAGGACTCCACCGAACCTCCGTTTTCAAACTCTAGCATAGCGCGCTTGAAATCATGCGTAACTCCTTGCAATCCGCCGGATTACCCCGCCACTTTAACAACGTTGTATCCAAACTCAAGATGGAATGAAGACGTAACATATCAGCAATTATGGCAGTCATGAGATTCGCTGTGCTGAGTGGCAATTCACCGTGTGACATAGTTGCATGGCTGGGGGATCGATAGTTATCTTCCTAGATTGTTTACAAAGAACAACTAGGTTTAATTCACACGCGAAAAAGTGCCGTAGATTCTTGCGCTATAAGTAGTTCTAAAACAGAAGAACAAATGTGCAGTTTCCGCTGTCCAGTACTTTGGAGACACAATACCAAGAAACAGAGATCCATGATCGCTTCTAGGTATGTGAACACATCACAATCTTTGTGTACTACAAGTGGTCATAATGCTAGTCCTGCTGTATCGGATATTGTGCACAGCTACAAAGTTGCTGACAAAAACCAGAATAGATGGTTTTTGGTGCCGTTAAAAACGTATCAAACGGTCAAAATGCTGGTGTATCGTGGTCCTCAGAAACCATTTATCTTCCGCTGCGATCGCTGTGTTGGAAACCGTGTCACATTATTATACTGCAGATGTGATGGAGACGGACAGCAATTACGTCAAGTACAATGATGTCAGTAGTAAAAACCTTGCGCATTTGGATTTGGACGCTATCTGAATACTAAATACTGGTTGGAAGCAGCGAGTAGAACTTTCTTTGTGTAGCTGCATCGTTCGTCTCTCTTGGACATTTAGCCTTATTTATCGTTTCGCTATTTATATTTTACCTCTGCATAGTGTTTGTCTAGAAGCTTCTTTAATTCGGACACTGAGTTGGCCTCTACGATATGCTGCGGCAGGTCGTTCCAGACATTCACCACTCTGTGTTCGAAACAGAGTTGGTGAGCGACCCGCTTCAACTTCGGTACGATAAGTTTGTACCGGTGTCCTCGCGTGCAGCTTGGTGTGCGCAGATGAAGCAGTTGTCTCAACATTGGGTAATCACTCAGGTGTAATATCCGGTGCGTCATGATGAGGTCAACCCTCAACCGACGATATGCTAGGGTGTACAGCCCTAGTTTCTTACATCGGTCTTCATATGGCATACCTCGTAAGTTGGGAATCAGCCTGGTGGCTACATGCTGCACCCGCTCAAGCTTTTTTTACCTCTCTCAGCGTGATGGGACAATACGCGGGAGATCCATATTCTAGCATTGGTCGTATTATCGAGACGAAGAGGCGAGTAGCAATCTCTTCAGACCAATTGCTGAAGCTGCGCCTGAGCGCCCAAAGCATCCGAAGGCTGTTTTGGTACAGCCTATTCGTGTTGTCAATGGACTTTAGGTCGCAGCGTGAGAGCACACCGAGGTCGCGCACGAAAGACGCGGGATGCAGCGGTTGACCAGCCACTGTGTACGTTCGGCTGTGCTCACACTTACCCAACCTCATAAATTGCGACTTGGCAGGGTTGATCGGAAGGTTAACCTCTGCAGACCATGTCGAGAGGCTGTCGAGATCCTGCTGAAGTAAATCACAATCACTGAGTGTGCGGATTACTCTCCACACCTTCAAGTCATCTGCGAACAACGCACAAGGTGATTGGAGTAGCTTAGGCACATCGTTTACATGGGTCAGAAACAATATCGGCCCCAGTACAGTGTCTTGGGGCACGCCGCTGCTCGATGGATACCAGTTAGTTAGATGGTTGTCCACCTGGACTCTCTACTTTCGATCAACAAGGGAATTTCTGATCCATTTGTGCAGCGAACCACCAACACCGTACATCCTCAGCCTGTCAAGGAGCACTGCATGGTTAACCTTGTCAAAAACCTTACTGAAGTCAATGTAAATGACATCGACCGAATGGCCTTGGTTCATCGCTTGTAACCATTCGTGCCTCGTCAACAGTAGGTTGGTGATGCACGAGCGACCTTTCATGAAACCATGCTGTGCGGAGGTCAACAGGTTTTTCGACTCGAGAAGCTGCAGCAGATTCTTCTTCACGATCTTCTCGAGCATCTTTGCCAAAACAGCGGTCAGGCAGATCGGCCGGTAGTTATCCACTTTACTTGGGTTACCACCTTTCGGTATGGGCTTTACGACTGAGCATTTCCAGTCGTCCGGTAAGAGTCCAGTGGATAGTGACCTGTTAAACAGTTCAGTTACAGAAGGCGCGATGATGGCCGATAGG